TTTTGTTTTTTAAAACACAGGCTGGTCTTGGACGAGTGTCTCAGACTCACCCGAGTAACTCCCCTCGCTAAGGGAGCAAGAATGGCTTCAAGATTGGGAGCAGGATCATCAGATCGACATGGGCCAAAAGATCCGGTAATCCAGGATCTCAATCCATCCAACATAAATAGCCTCGAGCTGGATCCCATATATAAAGGATCTCGGTCCCAAAGCTCAAGGGATCCGGATCCCATTTCGCAAGGGCCGCCTTTCCCACTGCTCATGGGATCTCGACCCCAAATACAGGGGGACCGCGATACATATAAATTGGGTTCCTCAATCCATAAATATGAAATATCGCTATCCCAATGCTCATGGCAACTAGATCCCAGTTCCCTCTTCCCATTCCGTTAAATGCTTTAGTTATTGATATGGTTTATGCATTTTACAACTCTAGTCTAACACTCTATAGTCCACAATCTATATATAGCACTCTAGTTATCTTAATTCTTGACGTTTGGGATCACTACATGATATGTACGAAGCCACAAATATAGGGATCGATCCCTAAATCAGGGAATCGAGATCCCAACATGATCGGGATCAAGATCCACAAATAGAATGATCGAACTCCTTCATAAGGGGGATCCATATACCTATGAATAAGGGATCAAGATTCCTAGAAAAAGATCGAACTCCCTCCCAAAAAAAAAGAGCTCCGATTGAGATCCCTGATTTGGAGCGAGGGAGCTGGAACTATGCCCTTTAGGGGTGATCCTCGTAACTAAGGTCGGATCAATCCCAACCTAGTTCGGACAGGGACTAGGACCCAGAATCAATCGGATCCAAGTCCAATCGGACCTAGATCTAACCCACTGGGTCTGCACCCCGACTGGGGTCTAGTTAACCTGAATTTCCTTTATAGAAAATGGGGTCAGATCAGGATGGATCAACCAAGGCCCAGATGCGGACCTGACCTGGTTGGGTACATGGTGGACCCAAACCTGGACCCGAACCCAACCCGTTTGGGGTCTCATACCTGGACAGTAACACCATCTGAATTTCAGGGGTTTCAACAAGAGAGTACCTATCGTACCAGTATAAAAGGTGTAGGGATCACCTTTTTTCTTTTCTTTTTTTGAGGTATAAGGATCACTTGGGGGGACTCTGCGCCATCAATTCAGAAAATGAATCTTTTTACCCATGACAATATTCAACAAATGAACAAAGAATACATGTAAATCAGGTAAATGTTCAGAAACAATATTCTCATACTGAAAGGTATCTGGTTTATTTCAAAAAGGATACACAAGAGAGACAATGGCCATTGATAGTCTCAACTGCAATATAACCAGTGCATGTTATGAAGCATAAAGTGATTCCCAAGCCAAGAAATGTGTACATAAACCTGCACCAAAAGAAATAGGGTCATTATGCTTTGATAATGGCACAACCATTTACGTACACCAACTTCAACGCCTACAAATATGTATAAATTTTATTAAAATTGGAGTACTTTCTTCCCGTACCATTCTAAAAGTTGAAAAGAACAAGTTGACAATCAATTTGAGAAGAGTTAAATCATGACACAGGCATCAAAAATTTATCAAATTGGAAAAGAAAGTAAAAGAGATGACGATATCAAGATAAGTACAAAATACCGGGCCACATTAAGTTAACTACGATGGAATATGTGAAAACATATATAGATATCCTTTATGTCATTGTTCCTCTTATTCAGTGTGAAATCCCTTGAATCTCATTTTGTTCCTTTTTTTTTCCCCTACCAAAACAAATACAAAAGGATTTCACATAGAGTAAGAGATCATTCTATTTTCAGCTCTAGTTCAGCAAAAGGTGTAAAACCAAATTCCTCTTCGAAAGCACCCTCCTCTCATTTTTTTTAAACACCATAGTGCATCGATTCATCATAGAGATTACTATGTGGCATTGATCAGGTTCTGCAATGGTTTCATGTCATGTATACAGAAGTACAGGTCTGCGTTGATACTCTCTAATGGTTAGATACTACCCCGCAATGCAAGAAGCATAACTTTGGTGAAAATGTAGAGGGATAGTCCCACCTAAAAAATGCTATTAGTGAATGTTAAACAGCATAAACAGAAAAACTACCAAAAAGATAGAAAGTAGGCTAACATCAAAATCAGGGAATATTTGTCTATGACACATTTATATGCGTTGTTATAGTTTATCATGATACAGGACAGGTTGAAAGTCACAACATAACTGATTATATATACACTTACTCACAGGCATTGATGACTATTTATGTTTATGGGATAAGAACTAGAACCCTATCAAAGTATCAATAATCATTAAGTGATTTACATTGTCAAAATAATACAGTCCCATAACCAAGTGTCACTCTATCCATATACTAACTGTATCTTACATATAGGTGCTTGGTAAGTTATGCAAATAGATCTTTAAAATCTGAAGATGCGGATGCAAGTCACGACATTTGTTCAATAGATAGGACCATGAATCATCCATCATAATAGCACAGCATGGATTTCATCATGACAAATCTGGCCTTATCTTTTTTGAATCATGAGTGTTTTACAGTTGACTGTAAACAGCACTATTATTTTCCATATTGAGAGAATTATGGGGATGCTGTGGCATCATCTCAAAGGCCCAAAAAATTACTTTGAAGTCTGAACAGAGAGATCATCACGCAAAAAACATTCATTAGCACAAATGTCATGGCAAGATCACATCTGCAAATGCCGAGGGAAAATTTTTCCTTCCAATCCCACTCAACTCCTAGAATAGATTTTAGATTAGATTTCTAACAGGACTAGCAACTGGGAAGTTGTATACCCTCTATGTAACTCAGAACCTCACAGGAAGATGGCAGGAACCTCACACACATTGCAAGAACCAACCTTATCCCACATTCCACCTCCATAGAGTTCAATGAGGGAAGCATGTTTTCTACTTGAATTCTTGAAAACATGGCTGAAGCTTGTTTCATGCTTCATTTTTCCTGATACATTGTCAAATTCGTAAATACATCCATAAACAGGAATCTTTCTCAATAGGTCTTTTTCTGAGATAGTTTTGTCCATACTGATAACTCTCTGAGACTCAAAACTAACTGAATTTAACCGCGTAATAAGAGTTTCAGAAGGTCTATGCATGCTCTTTTCAACCATTAAAGGTTGGAAAAGTGGATTTCCCTATTCACAAACATTACCAAAATTGAAGGTTCATCTCTTGCTACAGTTTTGGATATCAAATATTTCACTCACAACTAAGAACACAACTGCAAGGAAAACAAAACTGCATCAGTCCCCTACAATTATACTCCAAAAGATGTGTTGCATCTTTAAAATGCCATATGCTTGATCAATGTTCTCATATCACAAGTTATAAAAATAAATCAATATATATATACATATATATATATATATATATATGTCGAGAGGATTTTTCTCTCTCCCTTCATAACTTAGAGTAGATGGGAAACGTAATTTTCATGAAAACCTATCCCCATCACTCACCACATTAAGCATTTATACAAGTTCAGAGCTTCCAAAACCCTCCACCCTAAGCTGTGACCCCAACAGGCAGGAACTTGCAGGTTTTAAAGAGACACTGAAGAAAATCTAAAGCATATTAGGGGAAGTCACAGTGAATAAATCGCTCTTCATTCCCTCTTCCCATAAAAAATAGAAAATGGAGACTAAACATCGAAGTAGTTAAAATCCTATTCAAATCCTTGCAACACACCACTAGCTTCAAAATATAGCCAATGAACTGGCAATTTAACTATCAGTTAATACAGATTTCTATACACGATTCTGTCATGAGATAGAAGACAGTTGGTTTCTTTTTTTATTCTTTTTTTCTTTTTTTTTTCTTTTTTTGGGTCATAACTTGGTCTGACAGTCAGATTAATAAACGGTTAGCATTCGACAATCCAATGAACTATGATTTACCATCCTCTTTTCTCCCCTTATTGCAATCTAACACTCCATTTAATATTCAACGAATGACAATTACCAAGCTTTCTTCCCAAATTTCTTGAACCAAAAAGCTCTGTCCATTTTAGTATAGCATATGCATATTGAAAAGCACGATTAGTTGGGAAAAGGCTCTGACAATGAGAGTGATGACATGCGTTTTGATGAGAAATCTTATATAGACCTGTTTCAATTTAGAATTCCCAACTGAACTGGGCCTTCCATCATAACAAAAATAAATGCATGTTCAGTATAATGGCTAAAACCTGCGTCGATTATGCATGCAACCCATGTTAGGTGCAAGCTATGAGCTCATCAAGTGCGACAGGTCACAATAATCCAACATTGATTAAGCGTGCACACGCTTTCGCACACACACAACATGAACCAATTTGTACAGCATTACCTTAAATGCCAAAAACTCCTTAAAAAACTAAGGTTGGGTGGGTGTGCACATGCGCAAATGTGTGTTAATCATTGGTCCATGTATCTTTGTGTCTCAAGATTTGGCTGGATTTCTTTCTTAAACCCTAAGTTGTTGGGTTCAACCCTACTTTATCATAGAAAAATACACCCTAAGTTGTTGGGTTCAACCCTCTTTTATCATAAAAAAAAATATAAAGGAAAAAAAGATATTTCCCCAATTAAGCAAACACTTCTGTTGCAAAAGAACATGTGATGAGAAAAGGAAAAAGGCAAACTTTTTCATGTGGCAAAGATCAAAATAAAAGTAGCAGACCAGAAAGACAGCAAGGGTCCTACATAAACACATCCCATCTCCTTAAAACCAAAAAGAATTTTACTCACAAGTCATAAGAAAAGGAAAACCATCGTATGCCATACATGGTCCCATAGAATGATTACAAAATGCACCATTTCAAACAACCAAGAGACCCACGAGTGATTACAAATCCCCTTTTTCTAAACGTGAAGGATGGGACAGAGAAAGAGAGAGAGAGAGAGCCATGGAGAAAGCCCCTTTTTTCTAAACATCAAGAGAGAGACAGAGAGGTGATTAAAAGTCCCTTTTCTGAACATCAAGCACGTATATAGAGAGATGGGGGTGGGCGGGGGAAGAGAAAGAGACCCGATGGATGATTTACAAGCCCCTTTTCTAAACACCAGGCGCAGAGAGAGAGAGAGAGAGTCATGTCCACGAAACCTACCAGGGAGCATGTGTTTCAGGGATACCATATGATGAACTATGGACGAGGTTCTGATGCCAAATCCTCAGCATCCACAGGGAGTACAGAATCATGGCGATTCCTACCATCCCTATGATCGAATTCACCAGTTTCAATAGCGATTGAAGACAGCTTCGAACCATTCTCCCCATTTCTATACCAAAAACACAGAAGAGAGAGAGAAAGGGGTGAGGGAGAAGCAATATACTCCAAATGAGAGAGAGAGCCTCAAAAACAAGTGAAAGAATAAGAAGAATAATAAATGATGGAAAAAATATATAAGAGAGAGAGAGAGAGAGAGAGAGAGAGGAGTAAACTAAAAGAAGTAAAGAAAAGAAGGAAGGAAGAATAAGAGTAGGTAGAAAGTAACTAGAGAGAGAGAGAGAGAGAGAGAAGTATCAGTGAAGAGAGTCGATTCTCAACAAAGTTCAGAGAGAGAGAGAGGGTGATAAATGCGTGAGAGAGATTGAATTGGCAGTCTAATGAAGATAAAGCATGGGAAATTAAACCAGATAAGATTAAATATTTTAGAGAGAGAATTATGACGAGAATAATTAAGTTTGGGAGAGGAGAGAGAGAAAGAAATTAGGAGTTGGAATGTTTTGGGAGGAAGATTTTGGTTGACGTCTATTTCCATGCGTTGCCATAGAAAACGCGACAATCGTCAAAAAAACACGGCCAAAAATGAACGAAAATGCTCGCCGGACAGCCGGTTGTTGATCCGGCAACCGGTTGGCATGGTTGGCAATTGGGTCGGGTCGATGCCCTGGCCCATAAGATATACAATATATATTATAAAATACATCGAATAAGTTTATTATTTTTCTTAGTTTTAGACTCAGACCTAACCCGACTGGTCGGTTGGATCCAAGTCATTTGCCCAATTTGGGTCCATTTTATACCTAGTTGGGCCAGCTCAACCTGGACTTGACCTGACCCGTTGCTACTTCAAGTGGGTGGACAAGGGGATCACAATAATAACTAATTAACTAAAAATAAAATTAATGAAACCAGGGGTCATGGTCTTGGCCACTACTCGTCGAACTTAGATCCGGATCAATGGGTTGTTTTTTCTTTTTCTTTCTTCTTTTTTGGTCGATCGGTGGGGATGGGATCTCCTGCCTGTGATAGAAATAGATCTCAATACTCGTGTCATGGTGACCCACCACCCTAATCACCTAGTCTTGAACCAATTCCTATAAAATTGGCTTTAGGTTTTTAGACTAAACAGGTATGGTGAGGATCAGGCGGGGTCCTGATCTCGACTCGTACTGGGCTGGACCGTATGTGAGACCTATAGGGTAAGTCTTTAGAACAATACACATAAAATAGCAAAACAACCCAGATTAAATATGAGTGTTATAGATAGTCAAAACACTTAGATTTTTTTTAGGTATTTTTTTTCCAATAAAATATCTATGTGTTTTAGATAGTCAATCTTAGGCGTTAGCTTTCTTTTTCTTTTGATTTTTATACGAATCTTATATATATATATTTTATCTAGACACACCAAAGAAAAAAATAATATGCTAAAATAAACCAAAATATGTTTGCTATTAACAAAAATATAAAGAGAAACTATTTACTTGTGGGTACACTTAAGCATTTGATATTAGCTTTTTATGATCTTATATGGTGTTTATCTTGCTCCATTAGGAACAAGTTGTATTTATGATCCATCATGAAGTAGACGTGATAGCATTTATGGATTTAAAAAAAGCTTACGTATGTAAGATAATATGAGTATGTGAAAATAAAATATTAAAAGTCTTTTTAAAAAAATTTGATGCAGTTTTTAGTTGAGGGCTCATATAACATATGAAGGAACATGCACATTTTTATCATAGGGTTGGTGAACCAGTGTATAAAGCAATTTTAATTTTATTTGTTTGAACCAACATCCACGCCAAACTCCAAACCTGAGATGGATTTCTTGGCTGACACTTGGCTACAAACCATAGTTAGCCATTCTCCGATTAAAACATTATTTTTGTAAAAAATATCTGATTTTTTTTATATATGCTTTAGAACTCTGATTTTTTCAAAAACTCTGATTTTTTCAAAAGATCTTCAAAAAATCACGAATTTTTAACATAAATCCGTATATTATATTTTTTTCAAAAAATACTTATTTCCTATAACTTTATTTCTTCATTAACTTAATATTATTTAATTTTAATTTAAAGATAAATACATTAACAACAGGAGTAAATTAAGATTATTGATTTAACAAAAAATTCTATCAAAAATTTCACCAATGGTTATTTTTAAAAAGTGTACAAAAAATACAAGCAATATATTCTTAAAAAATAAAAAATAATTAAAACAATCGTATATCTTAAAATAATAGGCAAAATTAGAAGAAGACCAACCTAATAAAAAATCTTTTTTCTTTGTCCTTTAAACCCATAGTGTCCTTGTAAAGAGCAAGACAGAGATTCAATGATACTAAAGATTTCGCTAGCTATTTAGTGCGAGGTTCAAAATTTATTGAGCATTTGGTTTTTTTTTTTTATGCATAAAGAAGTTTGATTAATTTCATTTTTTATTTTTTATTTTTGTTTTTTGTTGGTGTATACAACATAGCAATTTGGATGGACCGCAATTTTATATATTTGTGTATTTGTGTTTTTTTTAATTAGCTGCAATTCTATACTGAGGTTTTTTTTTTATTTTCTTTTGAGAAATAATCCGATATCTTGGTTCACAATTCTTGTTATCTACTACTTAGTTATTGTGTTTAGCATTGTTGTTGTTGTTTCATTTTGTAGTCACAATAGATCTACGATATGGTTTATGATGCGACAATAAAGTAAGCATTGTTGCTGGATTTATTTAAAGTTTAAACAAAAAATGGTTAAGTATTATTCTAATGACACTAGTAAGGATATAAAATTAGTGTTTAGTGGCTTTAGTATATCTATGGAATAGAATCATAATCATATATTTTATCATCTTTATCTATCTGATTTTTTCACTATTTTTTTTGAACCAAATCCGAAATATTTACAATTCTATAGCTTACTTTATTGTTTGGTGATTTATTTTTTCGACCCGAATTTTTCCTCCGATTTTTTGAAATAAAATCGATTTGAAGGTTGCTCACTTTTTATATATAAAATAATACATCTCTAAGTTTTTCTACTTAAAAACAATATTTTTCACTATAAATATTTGAGAAAAGTTTCTATACTTCTCTTACAATATAGAAGATATATGCTTCTCCGACCGTCCATTATCTTACAATATAGAAGATTTATGTTTTTTCGACCATCCATTTTTTATTTTCATTTTTTGTCAATAGAGTCACTAACCATTTGATCTTAAATTCGACGTCTTGAATTATTTTATTTTTAATTTTTTTTATAAAATTAAAATTAAATTTTAATTTTTAATTTTAATTTTTTTATAAAATTAAATTTTTTTTAATTTGTAAATAGAGTCACTAACCTCACTTGCGGACTTTTGCCCTTTTCTTTGAGCAGTTGCCTGCATCTCTTCCATCTCCGCTTTTATTCCTGTCCTTGCTTTACAAGCATACACTTGCAGACACTGATTTGTATCATGGAGAGTCTCTGATTCATAAATTTCACAATGCTTCCTGATCTATGGTCCTCCCCCTGTGGAAACCACTGTAACAACAAGTTTTCTGCTCTCATGCAGATACCATGTATGCCTCTCTCTCTCTCTGAACTCACTTACCTCTCTCTCTCTCTCTCTCACACACGCATAAATTGAAACATTGGTTTCTAATTAGAGTATGACAATTTTCCATGGAATCTAGGGGGGGAATTCTAGTGAGAGAAAATGGGGGTTATGGGGTGTCTTCAAAATGGGTGTTTTTCAAATGAGAGCATGACAATTTTCCATGGAATCTAGGTGGGAATTCTAGTGAGAGAAAAGGGGGTTATAGGGTGTCTTCAAAATGGGTGTTTGTGTGAAGTGATTGAATGCTATCAAATGGGTCAAATGAATCTCTCCTCATAGCCCTCTCTTATCAACTGAACGTTTGTTTGTAGTGGGAGCTTGACAATTTTCCATGGAAGCTAGGGGAATTCTAGTGAGAGAAAAGGGGGATTATGGGATGTCTTCAAAATGGGTTTTTGCATGAAGTGGTTTTCTTGAACAACAGTGAATGATATAAAATGGGTCAAAAGAATCTTTCCAAAGCCCTCTCTATCAACCAAAAAACTCGCTTCTAATGGGAGCTCATGAAATCCCCGTGGAATCTAGGGGGAGTTCTTGTGAGAAAAAAGGGGGATAATGGAGTATTTTCCGATTGGTGTTCATACGAAGTGATTTTCTTGAATGACAGTAAGTGATATCAAATTCGTCAAATGAATTTCTCGAAACACTATCAAATGGAGCATACAGTGAATTCTAGAGAAAAAGTGTTTAATAGTTGTAGTATCTGATATGGGTTTAATATTTGGCCATTTTTACTGTGAAAACATGGGCAATATTCACCGAGTTGGATTTGTCTTTGTCAAATTTAGTTTATGAAATGATGAATGTTTCGAATTTCTCTATTATCGTGAATTGAATTTTTTTATCTTCAGAAATTTTATATTATTATCACCTTTTTCTCTGCACTTGTAGATTATACAGCCACATTGCATTATGATTAATGGTTAATGCTGATATATTTCCATTAAAAATAGAAAAAATGTACCACACTGCCATCATGGAATATTCACCATCCGTTCCTGATGGACGGTTAGGATTACTCTTATCTGGGTCCTGCACGAGTAAGGTTAACCTCTACCATCCATTATCGTGAATATACAGTGGATTCCCCTGTTATGTATAGCATGCCGTGTACCAGTGGATTATTGGATCGTTCCCTAGAACAAAAGGTTAATCCCTTTATATGGTGTATATTTATTTTCTTCATTGTTTAGTTTATATTACAGTTTGATGTATATGTTACTGGCTAATGTTTACCACTGAGCCTCAGGCTCCTCAGTGACTAAGTCAACAAAGTAAACTCAATGATTTTACTCTAAAATTATACAACCCCAATTAGTTTTATGCTTGCCATGAAGTAGTATGATTTATGTAACTTGGGCACATGTATCTATGGTTTTTGGCATGTATTGACACATCAAGGAGAGGACCTCACTTATTCTAAACTTTTATTGTTGAAGTCTCACTATAATAGTACTTTGATTGTCACCTAAAATCCAACCTCTCCCCTTATTAAAATAGTGTACGGATCTGTTGTGTTTGAAAGGCGAATTTTGGGGTTGGAGTTTTTGGGACTCCTATCCTTGTCAGATGATGACACACGTATTTGTGTCTTTGTAACATAGAGTATGATGCATGCATCACTGCTGTCCATATAATTATCCAATTGCTGGATAGATTTGTTGTAGTTTTATTCCTCATAATGACAATCTGTTTTAGTATTGTTTTTGCTTCGTCTATATGATATTTTAAACAGAGAGACAGGTTACCTCTGAATTTTTATATGTTTAGGTTCAATATGATGCACTTTTATATGTTTAGGTTCAATATGATACACTTTTATATCATATGATACACTTTTATATCATATGATACACTTTTATATCAATATGATACACTTTTATATCATATGATACACTTTTATATCATATGATACACTTTTATATCAATATGATACACTTTTATATCAATATGATACACTTTTATATCATATGATACACTTTTATATGTTTAGGTTCAATATGATACACTTTTATATGTTTAGGTTCAATATGATACACTTTTATATGTTTAGGTTCAATATGATTGATTACCTCGTTTCCTTTTCTAATGATAGGTTACCTCTGAATTTTCATCACTTCCTTTTATGGCTGTTGCTATTACTAATTAGACAACTCCAAGCTCTTGGTTTTTCTCTTTTCCCTTTTTCTTTGCCCTTCAACTGTTGTTTGCTATTGCCTTTTTTCCATTGAGAGAATAAATTCTCATGTTTAGCATGGCTTGTCTTTTTTTTGACATTATTTCTGGTTATGTTGGACATTAAAAAGAAATTGATTGCTTAACCAGATCAATTTGGACCTCTTATCCTACCTAGTGTGATGGGTAATAAACTTGAAATTATCTAAAACCAGTGTTTATCGCCTCTGATTTCATTTCTTTGAATACGTTGGTAATAAAGAGATTTGTTAGTGGAAATTTTGGATAATCAATTAAAAGGAAATGGAATGTCCTCTTGTATCTTTGATGTTGTTGTAAGTCTAGCTTTCGAAGTCTAATATGATGTTATTTTATCAAGAACCTTCCTCATGATTATTTTCATGGGATGAATGGAAATTTTGCAAAACGCAGAATACTGGATTGTTAAGATTTGTGTCTCAGTTGCAGATTTCGTTTTGAATTCATCGTTTGGTTTGCAGCCTGTCACTAGTGATCTTACTGTGAAGAAAGAGTCTTGCTAGAATTTTGTTGCTTCATTTTCTTTATTCTTTGTTCTATTATTTGGTTCCTTTTTTTTTAGTTATAACAAAATAGATAAGGTAAAAAAAAAAAACTAGCATCATGTTTTGTTATTCTAGCAAAATTTATGTGCCTGTGCACATATTGCCATGTATGCCAAGCATGTAAATGTTCTTTCCTGGGAATGCATTTGTGTCCTTTCTTGGGAACCTCCTTTCTTCTTACCTTATTGGTATAATTTTTTGTCCTCTATGGTCACATTCCCTAAGAGTTTGAGTGAGAATGAGGTACTTACCATTGAATTCTTTAACATTTTTGTGGTTGGTTTTGTAGGGAGAGTTTTCTGCAAAAAGGGATGTGATTGTGATGGTGACACTTGGGAGGACTGTAAGTTTTTTCCTTAACAAATCTCTTCTATAAGTGATTCCAGGGAAATTTATTTGTTCTGGACAATGTCCCATGACTCGTCCAATCCGAGCAGGGTGTTCTCCTTACGTTTGGCATTATAAATCTAGTTATGTTCAACTCAATTCAAACAACCACTAGATGTCTGGTTGGTTAGTGTCTACCGTCTATGGCCTTCATGTTAGGGTTTGAACCCCTTCAATTCCCACCATATATGACATGTGGAATTATAGACATATTTTATTTATTTTAAAGAGTGGTTTTAGAAAAATTGCCCATGGGGGATTCGATCCCCTAATCTCTTATAAAGAGTCCACCCCATCTACCAGCATGAAATTTGAGCAGCTATGTTTACAAAAGCATGATATGTACGAAACATTTTTTTTGTTTTTTATTAATTTTTTTGAATGGGCTCAACTCGCGAGAGTTACTTAGACTCGCCCGAGTAACTCGCGTCACCAATGGGTGAGTGCGTTAGCTGATTCGAGTCCCGGCACCTTGATTCTGGAAGGTCGCATGCTGTAAAATAATTCATTTTTGCAATATTGATATCAATGCTTTATATCTCTGGGGCTTTCTTTCCCAGTAGTATGCGAGCAATTTTTAAGGTAGTTCCTTCTCAAGCCGCTACACTTTTGCCTTCTGGTACCGACCGAGGAGAGAACATTACTTATCATCATTATTTGGTACTTCAAAAGAACTAAACTTTTGATGCAACAAGGCATGGGTGTATAGTTATATTGTATTTATTTGGAAAATATTGCTAGTTATTTTAGCTTTGACTTGCTCTTTCTACTGTACTTTCTTGTGTGTTTTGAAACTATTGATGTTGTATTTTAGGTGTTGGGGAATGCAATGAGATATGCTATAAAGATCCTGTTCTAAAAGACCATCAATGGAGTGCTTATATTGACCGTTCTCCAGGAGCTGACCATTACTCTTCGGTTCTTATCTTGACCACCTTTCTGCATCTCCATTTTGATTGTGATGTCATGATTTATGAAATATCACTGAAGTTTAGACATATTATAGAATAAGTTGTTAGTCATTAGTCGAAATGGCAAATTCGTGATCAATATATGGAGAGATAATTTTTATGGAAATTTTCATGTGTACCACTATATGAGCACGGTATTGATGCATTTTCTTTAATAATGATTGCTGTTGATCTATCTTATTTTATTACTGTTTAAAACTGGTGATTTCTTATTGTACTAGTAACTGATTCTTTAGTGTATGATGTCTTGATAATGCAGGCCTTTTTCTGAACACATAATCCGTACGTGATGGCTGACCTAGGGGGAAACAAAGCCCTTGTGCCCAATAGCTTCTCTGTCATCTTGTTCAGCAAATTCTGTGACTCCCTCATGCCGGACATCCTGGTCTTTTTCAACAAGCTCTACTACTACAAAGGGATTCACAAGGATATGAAGTCTAACTTCATAGCCCTGATGCCCAGGATAGAAGGAATGGAAGATCTCAAAGATTTCCATCCAATGGGTCTCCTGAAGAATTCCTGCAAAATCGTAGCTAAGGTCCTTGCCTCTCGTCTATGGGAGGTCCGACAACTTCCAACCAGAATAGGCAAATCATGGATGGGGCCTTAGTTGCCCATGAAGGTATCCACTCGAGACACCTAGCTTAGTGGTTAAACTGGATTGGGAAAAGGTATAACCACGTCAATTGGTCGATCTTGGATGGGGTCCTACCAAAATGAGATATGGAGTAAGGGGGAAATCCTGGATGCCTCCCCTGACTACTCTATATTTATCTATGGAACCCCCAAGGGGTACTTCCCATTCCTCCAGAGGTCTGAGACAGGGAGCACAGAGCACCACTATCTGCTTTACTATTTGTTCTAGTGTCAGAAGTCTTTAGCCACTCAATCTCTTGCCTCTCCTAATGAGGAAACTTGACGGGTATCAATTGTTCTAGGTTTGGCCCGGAAATAACCCACCTGCAATAAGCCGACGACCCTCATGTCTTTTGCAATGCCACTCCAGGATATTTGAATTCCCTGTGGCTATACTTGTGGTGTTTCAAAATTTCAATAAGAATGAAGGTGAACATGGCCAAAGACCAAGCTCTTGGGTGTTGGGGTGGAACACCAAACAGGTTGTTATCTACCCAAGAGACTAGGCTGTGGGGTGGACTCCTTCCCATCCAAATGCTTGGCCTGTCCCCATGCCTAGGAATGCCACAGAAGCAGCTTTGAGCCATCGCTGAAACATTCTTATGCTGACTGACTTCCTGGAAGGATAGGTACTTATCCTTGGGCAACTGGAGCCTTAATTAGCCACATGCAAAAACATTCCTGTTTTCTGAATGTTGTTTCATATGCCTGCCTTTATGTGTTCCAAACTAGAAAGTATGATGGAGTTTCCTATGGTCCTGGGCAGGTGGTCCGCATAAATTTCACTATATTGCTTGGGAGAAGCTGCACGCCCAAAAAGGACATAGAGCGGGGATTGAAGCTCCGTGATAGTAACATTGCCCTTTTGGGCAAATGGTGGTGGAGATTTATGATCCAGCATGGCCAACTGTGGCAATTATTGGTCTGTCACAATTATGGAATGGACAAGTTGGGTTGATTCCCCAAGGGAGATCCCAATACCTGCTCATCGGGAGCATGGGAAAGCATTAGGGAAAGCCATTCCAAATTCACGGAACATGTTAGATTTATAGTCAACTCCAGCGCATATTTTTTAGGTTTGGGAGCAAGATCGGATCCCTAACATATGTATACGTCCATACAATGCATGTGTTAGCGATCAAGATCGCCAAGCTAGGGATCTCGATCCCATCCTTTGCGGGATCTTGATCAGGCTTTTGGGATTTTGATCCTAACCTTTTGAGGATCTTGTTCCTAACCTTAAAGAGACCATATATGCTCTTTAAAGGATGGATCTCTTTATTTATAGCGAGCAAGCAATATGACTATATTAAATGTAGAGTTGCATTGCTAGCTGGCTGTTAATAAAGAAAATCTTTCTTGTTCTTTGAGGTGGGGATCAAGATCCCTAAAAGTGGGATCGAGATCCCTAATAGTGGAGACGAAGATCCCAAAATTCAAAAATTAAAATTCCTTGCAGATCCCTTTCCCCGAGCAATGGACTGAGATTTCACAGTGGGATCAACACTTAGGTTGGGAGATCCTGGCAACTATAGTATTGCGAATGGATTCGCTTGTGGAGGGATGTATGGACCGGGAACTCTACCCTTGGACTCGCTGATTCCAATCCCAATGCTACAATCTCCCTCCCATTTGAGACCATCTGTGGGCCGACCATTTGGAACCCCACCTTTAGATGAAGATGAACACTGTTCAATAATGAAACCCAAGAAATAGCTACAATGCTCGGGCCCTCGAAACCTTCTTCCTTCCATGGGAGGCCCTATATAACATACATTGGGCCCTGGCTAAGTCCAGCAAATTCAAAGTCTCTTATTTTTACACGGTTCTAAACCCATGCCAAATCACCCCTCCATCAGTAACAAAGTGTGGTCCGTCTCTGTTCCCCCAAAGGTTCAAGCCTTCAACTGGACAGTGTTCTCCAACCGGATTCTCACAGCTGATCACCTCAAACAGAGGGTTCCCACCTCCCAAACCAATGAATTATGTTGTAAAGCAGCTGAAGAAACAAACAACTGCCCCTTCCTACACTGCATGGCTGTGACCCAATTGTGGCCTGCCCTGCCGCAAGCTTTCGCTTGGGTTTGGATGATGTTGAGCACTAATAGAGCAATTGTTCCAGGCCTTATTTTCCCCCAATACCCCACTATAGGTCTTTTCATGTATGAAGCTTCTGTGCTTGCCACAATTTGGTCCATATGGCGGGAAAGGAACCCTCAAATTTTCAAAGGGAAATAATCTAGCCAAACTTTTTTGGGCCAAATGTTACAAAGGACTTAATAGCTTCTCAGCTGTAATTTTGTGACAAACTGGTGGGTATCCGCTCTTTCAAGGCTTTAGCCATCCCAAGATTGGGAACATGTAGACCTCTGGTTCAAGGGTCCACTAAGCTAAACTTCAAGTTCTCAACAACCCTTTACTAGCCTGCGTCGGTGGCATCTTTAGAGAAAGTCAAGGAAATGCAATCTTCTATTTCTCAGGATACGTCAGCATTGTCAATTCAACAATGGCCAAAACTATCACTCTCCTTAGAGGATTGAAAAGAGTCCATCAAACTGGGAGCAAATGGCAACTCCCTCGTAGTGGAGGGAGATTCAGAGAACATCATGTATGGGTGTCAAAAAGAGCCCAATGTCCCTGGAGTTTTAGCCCTTTGTTTGACCACATTTCTAACCTTTACAGGCACCATTACATGTTTGGTAGGAGGCCAACTAGGTAATTCCCTGTTGGCATAGCCAAAGTGTGGCAAGTAGACCCACAGGGGGATAGCTACCTGTGTTCTCACCATATTTTGGGGGAGTGGGATTGTACAGCCCATCATTTTTTTTAAATTTCTACACAGTTGTGCACCAGTCCCAACTTTTTGATTTTGGGGAAGGTATAGAGCCCATCTTTTGGTTTCTTTGTCTGTAAGGGCCACTCTGCTTGTGGGCTGCCTATTTTTTTGTGACTATATAAAGACCTAACTATTATCTAATACAAGTCAAGTATTAAAAACTGGGGGCTTGATAACTTATCTTCGGTGTATTTATTGAATATTATTCTTTGCATGTACTATTTGATGTCTCAAATGGTACATAGACATTGACGCGAGTGTGTGTGTGTGTGCGTACCTGTGTGTATGTGCATGTGTGTGGGGGATTTCAAGTCCTAAAAATAGTGCCATTTCTTTCACCATGTAATGAATATTTGTCATTCTTTTATAATATTATATATTGTCTAATAGTGGTTTTGTTACAAATCAAAATTAAGGAGCACTCTAGGGTCTAGATTTCTTGGAGTTTTAAGGAGAGACATCCTTGGACTTCATTAGAGATGGTGACAGCAAAGGATGCTGAAGTGTGCACTCAACGAATGGCAACATGGATACCCTTCCACCCAAGTATATCATATCAACATTGAAGGGACCTCATCTGAAACCGGGTCCTAACTGGTTTTCCGAACTTTTCTCTTCTGATTGGTCTAAGATTATATGCAAGCACCTTTTCTGGTTCCCTCATGGTTGAGGACAACTCGCATACTGCCATTTGTTGGGCTTTGAAAGAGTTTAATACCCATGGCACCTTCTTCTTATGAAAGAAGCCTTCCATCTCAGTAGATCGATTGCTTTGATTGTTATCGTGTGTATAGAGAGACTAGTGGTTGGAGGACATGCTACCTGAGGAGCGCGAGAGCCTCAATCCTTTATTAGTGGAAGATTGGTAGTTTTTTTTTTGATGAAGTAAGATCTATTATATATGTTCTCCTTTTGACTCTCTGTATCATCATCTGCTGTCTGTCTTCTTTGTGTCTCCCTACTCTTAAGTCTCAGTCTCTATGTGCCTGTTCAGATTAAGTTGATGTGTAATTTCTCCCAATGATTAAACAATAATCGCCATTGCTTTTTTTATAAAACGAAATATTTGACTTGATGATGAATGTGTGAATTCAAGTTATTTGATCAAGTTTAGGACTGGGCTCAAGGCCATGTGGTCAAGGTGGCGGGTGCTACAACTTGACATCTTGAATTCCATTTCTACAGCGGGTAGGGAACTACTTCCCTGCAAGACTACCTAAAAAAATGGTGAAGTCTACAAACCATAGATGAAAGAGTGTGAATGCAATGCACCTTCAGAAGAAATCACCCTGCTTTAGAAAGAGCTCCAGGCCCTCAAACTAATTAGCTCTGTCACTCTCTGATATCAAAGAAATCTAGAGAATCATCCAAGGCCCTCCTCAAACTTCTAGTGGATCCCATGACAATTTTCAAGGTCTACACATGTAGACCAGCAAACCCAATAATATGTTTTGGAGGAAACAAACAAGGAAATGTTTTTTGATCAACACATTGCCGTCCATTCCCCCCTTTTTTTTGGGTAAATATCCATTCCCACCTTGATGAACAAGTTTTTTAAGCTGGTACCTGGTCATCGAAGGAAAAAGCTTTGATTCTAGGAATGAAATTCTCAACAACGACTAATCAATAGAGTTCAAGTTACAAACTCAAGATGATAGATGGCATCACATTTGTCAACTCAATCAACTTGCTAATTTTTATAAATTGGAATTGCCCAGATATAGAGCCCAAGGCCCTTCAATTTACTTATATCTCTAAAACAAATCACAATCATTTGTTATCCATTAAAAAGGAGTTTCACTAGGGGGTCTGAATCAAAGTTGCAATATGCTCTTGTTTCAAAGAAATGAATATAGTGCATAGGATTTGAAACTACAGTAGTGTTTTTCCGTCCACGGCCATGCAAAATAATTGTAGAAGTCGCCATATTTCATGTTAGGAATTGTATACGATGAGCCTGCCTCTTTTTGTATGCAAAGTCAAAAACACTCCTATGTGAAATTGGATGGCTGGGATGTGTCATTTTTCTACGAAAAGTCCAAGAAAATTTCCTTGGACTCCGAGCGTGGTCAATGACACACCCTCAGTCACCCACCTTCACATCTAATGGACAGGGGTGATTGTGACCTTTTTACACCAAAGATAATATTTCATACATGTGAGTTTTACAGTATTACCTTTTGTTTGGTTTGCATTTTGTGATGTTGTTCTGTGATTGTTCATGTGTGCCTGAGAAGATAACAGTTATAACATCTGTATGTTAGTTTGAGTGGTAGAACTGAGACCTGTTGAGTACTTAGGAATCTCTATTACACTTTAAAATTTGTGAAGTTGATTACTCTTCTTTGTTGATCCTTTATATATCTCATGTTTTCCTCCTCCAGTTTATAATCAACATATGTATGAATGATGCTTGTTTTATGTACACAGAAATGCTTCCATGCCTGTATCGCAGGTTGTGCACATAAGGTCAGTAGAAGCTAAAAGAGGTTGAGGTTTTTAAACTTCATATTCTTGCATCCATGGGCTTCTGCATAAACATAAGTACAAGATACATACACTGGATTATTGGAAGACTATGATTATGTTGTTAATTGCTCCTCAGCACATACTATTCCTATTTGATTGAGGGTAATTCCACAAATGGTTTCCTTTTTATTTTAATTAAAGACGTGGTTTCTTATTGAGTCCAAGAGGTGTAAGCTTGACATATGGCTTTAGGGAATCCGATCTTAATAAATATTGAATGCTTGCTTAAAGGCATTATTTTTGTGTGTGTGCGTATTTTTTTTTTTTTGAAAGGGGGGAGGGGGGAAGGGGGGGGGGGGGGGAGGGAGGGAGAGAGAGATTGGTACTTGGTCTTGGTAATCTAAGCATGAAGATCTCGGGGACCTGTATTTATATGAAAAGTGGGGGTGTTAAAGAATTTTGATCTTTAATCAATCTCAATATATCATGTGGTGAGAATTTTTATAGTTAAATCCTAATGTTGTTTTCATCATGTTGCAGTTTAATATTCCCTCAGCAACTGTAGACATGGTTCATCCAAATAGACCTCCCAAACCTCAGCCCACACCTTCACCTGCAGAGTGCTTTCTTTTCGCCGAGGACGTGCCATGCACATCAGCTTAATAATCACTTCTCATTGAGAACCCTCACTTCTGTGTGGATTGTATACAATGAGGAAGTTATCTTTTGTACACAAACACTGTCACATGTAGCATTGGACAGCTTGGGGGTATCATTTCTCCCCACGAGGTCCAGAAAGGAATTTCTCATACTTCGAGTGTGGTCATTGGTTCTCCTTCAACAGCCTGATTTCACATTTGAGGGTTAGGGGTGAGTTTGACCTTTTTATACTAAAGGAAAATTGTCTGGTTCTATATTTATCTCTAGACTATGGAAAAGAGAGAGAACCCAACTAACCCTGTTAAAATAGAAGTGGTGCCATCATATAGCAGAGTGTCATCCAGTCCATGTTCTAGTGCTTAGTTTTTTTATCTCATTTTAAGGAAGTGGATCTCTCTTGTAACGACCCTTTATATGCTAATGCATGATTCCAGTCCATGTTCTAGTGCCTAGTTTTTTTATCTCATTTTAAGGAAGTGGATCTCTCTCTTGTAACCACCCTTTATATGCTAATGAATGATTATGAACTGGTTGAAATAGTTTTGAGTTTGATTAAGAGCATTTATTGAGATCTGTTGTTCTTGATGCTCAGCGGATGAGTGCTTAATTTTAGGGTAGAATTTAATGGGTAACTCCTCTCACATAAAAACCATGAAGGCAGGTCTTCACCATCTTGGGAATGGGGCTGGGGTCGTGGTGGTAGCACCCCCACACATTAGTCAATACCCTCCCCCTCTTCCTCCAACACGTTGTGGTTTTGATTCTCACAGACACCACCCTATTTACCACCCCATTTGCACTTCAAAACTATCCCTTGACCTGTGTCAATGCGACATCAAATGAATGAAATTATGTAATAAGACAAACTTGAGTAGAATTATGCTGACACTTTTTTAGTGGAAGTTGAGTACATTTGCAAAGCATATACACTGAAATGAAATGAGATTTTTTAGTGTGAAATGAAGTTTGTATAGTCTAGAGTACCATGCTATCCTCTTTCACAAGATCACGTGTGGTGTGATCTCATGGAAGCATTACTATACACGCACTCCCATGGGTGAAAGAGCTACTTAAAACGATTTTGATATGAAAATTTGAGATCTACCCAAGAATCACCATGTGATTATTTTCAAGAAAAAAAAATGTTTTTTTTAACTTAGATCCAACCATCAAAATTTTGGACAATCTCCTCTCTCTGTTCAATCTGATCATATCATATTTTTTCCATAGTACTGTTGAGGTTTCTTTTCTTTTTCTCTTTTTTCTTTTTTGAGGTTGGTTGCTAGGTTTTCTTTTTCTCTTTTCTCGTGGCTAGGTTGAAGATGTTATATCCTCGTGCCTGAAGTTATAACATCATTTGCCTTTGGTATAAGAAAGTTACAAATATACCTAGATGTGAAATCTAATGGCAATAAATGTATTACCAAAAAGAATGTATACAAAGATACTATTTATCTTTCGTACAAGGTTGCCTTCTTCTCTTAAATTTCAAAATGTAAAATACCAAAACGTGGAAATTGATAACATAAATACTTTCCTTTAGCATGCAAATATAAAAGAAACAACTATTTATTCGGTCTTCCCTCCCTTCCAATGATGTGATTCTCCGCCAGAGAACCAAAAGATACCCACTTTCAATTATTTCAGGCCAAAATCACCGGAAAATTGAATTTTCCAACCAAAACACGCTGGAAATTTCGGAAATCCCCAAGAAAAAGCTCCCAAATGGCCAAAGGAAAGTGTGTTCAAGCTCTTGGGGGAAAAGGATCCCAATAAATTCGGAAATCGAAGAAAATCAGTTTCAACCAGTGTTTAAAAAAACACCGAGTCGAACCGGACTCGCCCGAATTTTTTGTAATCCATGATCGAAATGTTTGGTTTTTTTTTTGTAATCCATAATCGAATTTTTTGTTTTTTTTTTTTTTTGTAACCCATGATAGAATATTTTGTAATCCATGATCGAATGTTTTGTAATCCATGATCGAAATGTTTGTTTTTTTTTTGTAATCCATGATCGAAATGTTTGTTTTTTTTTTGTAATCCATGATCGAATTTTTTGTTTTTTGTTTTTTTTGTAACCCTTGATAGAGTTTTTTGTAATCCATGATTGAATTTTTTGTAATCCATGATCGAATTGTTTTTTTCTTTTTTTATAATCCACGATCGAATTTTTTGTTTTTTTTATTTGTTTTTTTTTGTAATCCATGATCGAATTTTACGTAATCCATGATTGAATTTTATGTAATCCATGATCGAATTTTTTGTAATCCATGATTGAATTTTTTGAAAATTTGTGATTTTTTTTTTTAATCCATGATCGAATTTTTTTTTGTAATCCATGATAGAATTTCTTGAAAATTTGTGATTTTTTTTTTTTAATCCATGATCGATTTTTTTGAAAATTTGTTATTTTTTTTTTTAATCCATATTATTCAAAGAGAAAATGAGATAGATGATGATTCTGAAGCCACCCTATCCTAGCCATATTATTCACATATCGAGTCCCAACAGCAACAATGTAGGGATGAGCACGATAATGCAGGTGAGCATGAAAGATGGACAATCTTCGGAGATTTTAGATTGGGAACACAACAAAACACTAACACTCAAGGATTTGGGAATAGTCAGACGCCTGCTAATATCGATGATTCGTTTTTAGATCGAATCAATGAATTGTTAAACGAATTCAATCAATGGCACCAGCATGACCAAGAAGAACAATAACGTCATCTATCATTTTATTTTTAAATCATATGTTACTAATTTTATGCTTTATTGTAGTCTATGTATGTTGATATACTTATTCCATGATAAGTTTATGTTTATCCTTTTGTGTGATGTAAATTAAATGCTGAATGGCGGTTCATGCAGGGAAAGAACATATCAATATTCGCATATTCATCCAAAAACATGAAAATTCTTAATGGAATACCCTCATTTCTTATTGAATTTCTAAAAAACAATATTTATAATGAATTTTAATAATTTTTTCGGATTTTTTTAAAGCTTTATTCAGACCGAATCACCCGATTCTCGATCCGGATCGCCGATTCGCCGATCCGAATCGATTTTTTGAGAATTCGATCCGAGTCACCGATCCGTTTTTTAAACCATTGGTTTCAACCAAGAGAGGACAAACAATCGTTGAGAAGGCCTGAAAATTCAGTTCGGTTCCCTCGTTGTAAGAGTAAGGAAACCAAGTTTTGCTATTTCAACAATAAAAGTGTAAACCAGCTGAGGCACTTTTTGCAGAGGGTGCCAGAGGAACTGGACCGCCGGTGGGGCGGCGCAGAGGAATTTGCTGGTGGGGGCAGGGCGCCTCAGTACTTACAACAGGGTGAGGTATTTGCAGGCGGCAACAAGGGTGGCCATGTTCTGATCGGCAGCAATCTCTTTGACCCCGGGTTTCAAAAAACTGGCAGTCGCTGCAGTCGGATGATCTTTAGTCTTGAAGCACCTTGATTCAGAGGTGCCCTGTTTCTCCCGCTCTCTATTTCATAATGAAGGGTTTTGTAAATTTGACAAAAAAACGGTTTGAATCTTTCTTACGCCCATGAGATTGGTGAAACTGGCAAAAACAATTTGATTTGAACTCCTCTTCTCTCTCACATATAAGTTTGATAAAACTGACAAAACATTATGATCTGAATTTCTCTTATGATCATTTATTTTTGGAAATATGATAAAAAGATGGTCTACATATGGTAATTAAATGAGGAATGAGTTTGGTCCGCTTAATATCTCTTCCAGTTTCTCTAATATTTAGTTCAAAAATATTGAGTACATGGGAAAATATCTTTTTATCCTTTATTTTTAATTCTATATCTCATGAGATCCAAAAATTGAAAATATTACTTATAAGCAAAAAATCTCCATTTTTTCTACCTTACAATCCCCTGGACCCCTTTGACCATAGATTTTTTACCCAAATAAACACTAAAATAACACCCTATTCAAACTCCATTTATCTTTATCTAAAACTCCATCTCTCTCTCTTCGCTTCTTGGTGAGTTTATCAACCAAGGGTTCTAGCTTGAGCTTGAACACAAGCACACCTTCTTATGTGTGAGAGAGATAGAGTTTTAGAGAGAGAAATATAGAGTTTGAGTTTTAGAGAGAGATAGAGTTTGAGTTTTAACGAGAGATATGGAGTTTTGAAAGAGAGAGAGACGATGATGTGAAAGAAAGATAGAATTTGGATTTTAGAGAGAGTTTTGAAAGAAAGAGACGATAATGTGAGAGAGATAAATAGTCATTTCATAAATTGTTGAGGTCAATGATACATGGTCAAAAGGATTTAGAGGGTTGGAAGATAGAAAAGATAAAATCCTTTTGCTTAAAGTAATATTTTCAATTTATAATAAGATATAGAAGTTAAAAATATGATATAATAGGATATTGTCTCTTAAGTATATATACAATGTGTAGAAGTAGCCAAACAAATCCCTCTAAGTTTTATAATGCATTTTTTAAATATAAACAATAACGATATTTTGGATCGTAGGATTAGGTTGCCAGCTACTTTTCTTGCCCAATTGGTATATAGGATAATACTTAACGAGGTCTAGTTGTTGGAGGATGTCTAAAATATTTGTAACAATACATTACAAAACCTGGATGGGTCGGGCGAATCAATGGTTGGCAAATCAGTTTGGATTGGCGAATTGGTGATCTGGATCGAAAGAAATATTGCTACAATTTCTTAAAAAGCTAAATTTTATGCATTTCCAAAAAAAATGGGGTACTACACCATAGATTTTTATTACTACTAAAAATACATAAATATGGGGAATGCATTTGAGTTGCTAATTATTACATTCATTTCACAGTCGAAATAAAGTTCAAATGCAACTGATATTGCAATAAAATGGAGAAAAAATTACAATGTAACCATGTATCAAAATTCAAGTCATGGCACATGAGTAAAATGAGTCCCCCCGGAGTAACTTGTCCATTTACTTTCTCATGCAAAAACCAAGCTAAGACTTCTCAAAACCTCAAATATTAGAAATGGAACTGATTACCTAAAGATAAACTCCAAAAAAAAAAAAAGGCACGCCGAGCTTGAAAAGAAAATGTCCCAAAATTCAACAAACACCATCCAACTTTTGGATAGCAACAAGATCTAAACGTTAAAACAGCTCAAAATTCAATTTATTTTTCTTAAAAAAATATATGATATTAAAATGGATTCCCAAATTTCTAAGCCCAAAAAATTCATTGCAAGAACATTTTTTACTCGAGCGAGCAAATAAACATTTTGCTCCTATGCAAGTATACTATGCGTGGGAAGACTTCATAATAAATCTAGGGCAGGCACAAGGCTTAGAGCTTTGTCTAAGATCCACAATTTCATGCACACTTCAAAATTCTACAAAAAAAAAAAATGCAATTTCAAAACTAAAAAGCACCTCAGCCTTGAAAACTATGGATCCAAAAAAAGAGAAAAATAATCTCTAACACCATTAATATCAAACAACATTATTTGGATCCACCAAATCTGTACAATTTTAAGAACATATTTCAGGAGCAGATTTCGAGGCCATCCTTCCAGTTTGGAGGTGCGGCTTTACATTTAACATAAAGAATGAGCTTTGTGCCAGGTACAACGATGGAATATTAATCATCCATTTAGCGCCTTACCATCCAGATTCGAAACCCAAAATTCAGATCCTATCAAGGTATGGACCCATTGGATCAAAATTTTTTATACAAATCCAAAATCTATATCCAAAGGAGGATCCAAACCAGATCCAACCCAATTTTTTAAAATTATATATATATATAAGGAAAATAACATATTTACCCGTTATATTTACGGTACTTATGGAAATACCTCAAAGTTTTCGTTCATGCGCACATCAATTTTTTCAACTTCCTAACAACTTTTTCTTTTAAAAAAAATAAAACTGCTCATTTTCGATTTTTCAAAAAACTAAAATTTATAGTATAAACACTAACTTATTAGTAAGCTGCAGGTTCGGGTTTTAGTAGTGCTTCATACGTAGCAGAGCTCTTTACAAGCTGTCTTGGCTTTCATTCTGATTGGACTCTTCTTTTTTTAACTCAAAAACTATTAGCATTTTTAAAGTGGTGTAAATATTTGTCTGTAATGGGACACGAACCCTTACAAGACCAAACTTCATGCCGTCGTAGTCGTACAAACCAAAAAGCCATTCTCGCATATCTGATTTAGATTTGTGGTATTAAAATAATTAAAGTAAAAAATATCATTTTTTTTTGGAGTTCAACAAAAATAACCAAAAATTTTGAAAAACCAAAAAATCTGATTTTCAAATAACCAAAAATTCTTAATTTTTTATTTTTAAAACACCAAAAACTTTAAAAACTTTGATTTTTGAAAAACAAAATTTTAAAGATTTCAATTTTTGAAAAACTGAAAACAGACGGTTCCATTGTTTTTTAAAAAAATTGATGGGGAGTTGAAAAAACAGATATACGAATAATAATGATAATTTTTAAGTATTTTTTTAATAAAAGTATATATAACAGATATATTCATTATTTCCCCGTATATATAATATATATAATTATTTGAACTTTTATAATTATATTTTAACTTTATAATATACAACATTGGATCCGATACGGATCCAGATTCTAATTCAAATCTTATATATATAATTTCAAATCCAGATCCAAATCTGGGTGGATCCGAACCCGATCCAAAATAAAAACATTTGAATATATAAAAAAGTATTTAAAAGTTTATCACAACAATACTCGAGAAAAGCTTCATTGATGTTAAAGACGAGGCCTAACGATCATAAAATACATGAGCACACGGAAATTTTGGTGAGCCCATGATTCCCATATGCATGCTAATTAAAAATAAGAGAACAGTCAGCATAAAACTTTGCCGTATATTTTAATAAATTCTAAACTTATCTAAACTTATGTATGACAATTGATAAAGCAGAATAGCGAAACATAATTTATGTAATCGACCTCAAATAATTGAAACAAAGCTTGAATAATGACAAAATGATAACTTTCATTATTTTGAAACCCTAAGCATACTCATTTAACTTGAAATAAAAGAGGAAAATATTGTTTTAAAAGGTTAAACCCCTTAACAAAATCATTAAAAAAGGTCAAATGGTTCCAATTAACATTTAAGAGGTTGTTTTTTTCTTTTCATTTCCCATGAATATCTCTTTAAAAAAGAAAAAAATATGTAAAAAAATTCCCTAATTCTCCTTGGTTATTGGGAAGGAGAAAAAATTAGGGGCATTTTAATAATTTGATCTCCCAAAAAACCCCAACCAAATGCCAAAATATCATGCTTGTTAAGGTTTAGGTATACAAATGAGAAACAAACTAATTCAAATTAGCAATTAACGGCATTTTTGTCGTTTGGTACATGCATGGAATTTGCTTGCCAAATAACAAAAATAACTCTTGTTCTTCCTTAATTACTAATTCTAAACAATGCATTCTTCATTTATAACTCTAAATAACTTGGATATTTCTGTCATTCAATTGAGGGCTCTTGGGAATTAAACTCCTAAAATGCCTTTTACTGTTCTTCTTTCTTAATCCTTAACATTGGCGATTTGGAATTTGCTTTCTTTGAGGATAAATATTTAAATAAAATAAAAAAGAAAAAACAACCCTCAAATGTTAATTGGAAACATTTTACCCTGATTTTGCAAGGGGTTACTTCAATGATATTTTACCCCAAGAAAAATGCCCACTTCTGTCAAATAAATCCCTTCATGTCTTACACAGCAACTCTGCAAAAGAACATGATTTGATTATAACATTCAGGAAATATAAAGAGAGACATGCATAGAACTACTATTAAGACAAAATTATCTCCATCCATTAATATATGAAAGAAAATTGTTCCATGAGTCAGCGGGTGCAAGAGCCCACTTACACTTCAGCGTCCATCTTTAAAGTTGGACGGTGTGTAAAATGCATAGGGTCAAATCAGTATTGGATGGTGCCAAAAAATATCCCACAAAAAAAAGCACATTTTAAAATTTAAAAAAAGAAATTCATATTTATGATCAGCTTCGTTTAGATGAAGAGTCCCTAAAATTTTGGATAAAAAATCCATCTTTAAACTGAATTTTAGAGTGGGGCGCACGTATACATATGAGTCGGATGACTCATAGAAAACCCATCCATTCATGAAACCAGCCTTTTCAGTTCCTTGGATCCCTTCACAATCACCTTGCCCCATCACCTAACAACCCTTCACACCTGCATAACACTTTGCCCCCTCAAACAACCAGAAAAGGTCCATAACTTCTAATAGAAATCTTTGTGACAGTTATCGCTCATAAATTCATTTTCCAAGGAGCAAGATGGAAAGTTCCGATGATGATCACATATGTGATCATGCTGGTCTATTGTATTCGACCCGATAAATTGAGGCTCCCCGCCCATTATCTCAATAAAAAGAAGTGAAAATAAATTCATAAAAAATAAATCTAAAATAAGGAAATAAGGGCAAGTTCTAGAAATGAGTGATCCATATTGGATAGAGTTTCAGATGCAGGTGGGTTTCCTGCCAAACAGATTTTCTGCTATCTTGCTATTAAGATCAGCAATTTTGGGTCCTTTCCATAGAGACAATATTTGACAGAGGAAATGGAGGAGGATTTTTGTTAGACAATTTCCTCTGTGCAACCAAAGCCATTCAGTATGTTTAAAGAATATATGCAGACTTCACCCATATACCAGGTGTGATATATCCAGGCTTAGTAGTAAGTATGCCGTAACCTAGCTCTGCCTCTCCAGCATCATCACGGGCCCCCACCTCCATGATCATTGCTCCACCAATGGTTCCCCATCCAACCCCCTTTGCCCTATTTTCCCCAAGTGTGCCTTTCTTATGAAAGTAATCCATGGCTTCCCTCTTCCAGCCTCGAAGACATCAAGGAAAACCCTCTAGTTCTCAGCACGGGGAGGATCTTCCAGCTATTCTCCCTTACCCCTTGCACAACCACCCCCCTATCCCCAAGGTCCACTGCCTCCCCTGCTTTCAACATCTGCAAGACCTTCACCATTTTCGAATGTTCCCTCCTCCAGTAGAACTTCCCACTCCCCGGTCCAGGAGGATGTGGCCAACTTCCCATGACCACTGCTCGCCTTTTCCCCATGTTAAGAACTATGTGAATGGAACTTTCAATCCACCTCGTCACGACCTCAAGGGCATCATAAACTAGATCAAAAACTAAAGGTGCACCTCCTACCCTACCTCGGCAAGCAGATGGACAGTAAGAAAAATGTATTCCCTCAACAATCCCAGATGAAGCCCAAGGAGTGCTGGGGGCCACCCTCCAAATCGAGCCCTAGAACCCAAAGGAAGCTGCCATCAAACAGTTCAGCTTGTGGATCACTGCTAGAGGGACCCCCGTCCACTCCTGGACTCACAACAACATCAAAGCTATGCGAAACATGCAGTGGTTTCATCCAAATTGATTGGGCAGCCTCTGCCCTGAACTCTCAAGAGCCTGTTTGCATTCATAGTCAATACAAGACAACCAGATTCAATCCTTGGATCAATCTCTTCTGCCCTAAGGCATTCAATATTGAAGCGCCAAAAAAAATAAATTTTGTTTTAATTGTTATGACTTTATTCATTTAGAAAGAGAGTATAATGTATTATCCCACAAGGCTAAGGTCTTCCCTTTCAAAAAGTTCCTATAATAAAAAGATATTTTGACTACTTTCCCACCTAGAAAAGAGAACCCACATGTACACATGGAAGTTACAATCAATGCAAAACCTTTTCAGTACAAAAACTTTCCTCAAGCTACATTTTAAAATCTAAACTAGTCAATGAATTTTTAAAAACTCCGGTTGCTTAACCTGTGTGAACACATGCGAACATGAAGGAACTCTAGTACAGCTTTAAAGGTAAACCAAAAAATTCAAAATATAGGTTGTAATTCGCTTCATTTTGGTGAACCCACCAAATATTAAGACTTCCAACAGATTGGCCCGATGCAATGCGAATTTAATAAACATGAAATAAACTTATTCTTCCTTTACCTCTCTCCGCATTACCCCAAACCAACCTCTTAACCACCAACCCCCACCCAAAAGAAAAAACACCCACCCTTGGCCCCCCCATTCTTATGCCACATCCTCTCCTCTACCTTGTTTGTCCCTCGCTCTTGCGTCCTGTCCCTCACCCTTGCGTCCTCTATAACCTCTCACCTCCTCTGTTCTCTCACAATGCATGTTTCTCTCCTTCCAACGGTGCAGAGTGCAGACCAACTCATGAGCTTCAAAGGGGGCCTCAAAGCCCCTACACTATCACCTCCCATCCCTCCAACAAGAAATAAACAATCAAAAAAATAAAAATTAGCAAGAAAAAACACCTCAGTGCCACTACTGCTTCCCCCCCCCAACCACACCAAGCATCACCTCAGCATAAGCTTGGTCATCTCCAAAGTCAAAACTCCGGGCAAATAAAGGGTTCCTCAAACCCCCTTTCCCCTCAGCTTCCCCCAAGAAGCCATCATCCCCCATACAAGTTGCTGATCACCCAGTCAATTGACTTCTTGTCAAGCTTCCAAAACCAGGAGCCCTCCCATTGGTGTCTCTCCCTTGGTTCCCCCATGATGCTGCGCAATTACCATTTTCCTGCCTCCAAGTTTCTTCAAACATCTCATCCTCGATGACCCCCTCATTTAAACAATCTGATGTCCCCTCCTATTCCAATGCTGATGCTGAACATATTGTCTCCCGCCTCTAAGTTTCTTCAAACATCTCATGCTCGATGATCCCCTCCTATAAACAATCTGATGGCCCAAACTTTCCATTGGTTTTGATTATATCTTCGAAAACTTTCCAATGGCTCATATTTGCTTTCTACAGCCCTAATCGGTTAGTAGTCAAAAGACAGCTTAGAAAATTTTAATGAAACATTTGCACAATTCCCCTTTCCATGGTGTCACAGTAGAGACTTTAATGTCCCCCATTGATCTTTTGAAAAAAAAAAAAGAAAGGTGGCAGGATGACAGTCAGCATGGCTTTGGATTTTGTGCATAGGACTCCCCAATCAACCTTCCTCTCAATGGGACCTCCTTCACTTGTCTAGTAATCAATCCTCCCCAACTCTCTCCAAACTCGACAAATTCTTGATCAATCCAAATTGGGAACATTCAGGTTCCTCGATGACCACATCGAATCATACTCCAATCCTGTTAGGTAACCCCTGCCCCCCACCCTCTTCTTCTTTTTTCCTTTACGCCAGGCCATTCAGATTTGAACATCTATGGTTAGAGGATAGAAACATCCACCCCTTCCTTCCCCTTCGTGGTCCTCTTTCAAAGCCCAGAGGAGGGTTGGCTTCAGCAATTGTGAGAAGCTGCATCTCCTAAAGCAAAATTGGGGGCATGAAATTTTGTTTCAATTGGGCCTGCAGACCTGGCAAGTCATCCTGATCGACGTCCGCATCCAGAGCCTTAAAATGGGCCCAGCGTATCATGTCTAGGTCCATTTGACCTACACGTGACCCAGGTCAAAGGGGTCTAGTTCGACCGGATAGATCCGACTCAACATATATACATGTAGCATATATAATTATATACTAAATGTATATTTTGTATAAGGAAGCATCTATGCAACGCCTATGGGCAAAAAATGAACAGTGTTTTTGCCCATAGGCTCATCACCGTCCGAAAAAATCGGACGACGTGCGGTTTTTGACCACCACAAACCTAGCATGTCCATGGCGATACCACCACAGACATGCTAGGTCCGTGGAGGTCAAAAATTCACGCAGAACCGTAACGGACGGCACGCCATTCATTGCGGGTCCATTCAATAAACCGCCACGGAAATAACAAGTCCATGGTGGTGGCAAAATACTGTAGCATTTCACCGATAGGCGTTTTTTAGGTTTTTCCTTTGTATAATGTATATATATGTATATTTTTAGATATCCCAAACCCAACTCAACCAGGCAAATCGGGTCCAGCTCCAATTGACATGGAACGAACCAGGGTCCAAGTCAGGTCCGGGTCAAACTTAGATCCAATGAGGTCGAGTCTGGGGAAGGGTCGACCCAACAAGGACTCAACCCAGGTCCAGGTCAAGTCTAGGTCAAACTTAGACCTAATGAGGTCGGGGGTCTAGGTAAGGCTCGACCCGACAAAGACTCAACCCATTCATAGAGCTAGCTAACTTGTACCAATTATGATATAAGAATTAATAAATCGTTCAATTTCATCAGCTAACTGGTATTGATTTTGACTTTAACAATTAACATATCGTTGAAGTTCATTACCCTTCCTTGCAATGAAACAAAAGTGTGAACTGTTCAATCACCTTCCCTGGTAATAAACTAAAAGTGTGTTGTCCGTATAATTGGCACTGACTAGAGCCAGGTGTTAAATACTATTAGATGTTTCTGGTATTCCTATTTTTTTTTGTAGATGTTAATAAGTAATATATTCTAAATACACATGGTTTTGCTTACTGAAATAAAACTTCCAAGTCATAGTCTACCAATTTTCTGACAAGAGGCTGAAACACAATGTTGGAAACTACGGATTTGGCTGCCTAGGTGGGTGCCTAGTTCACTATGTGGCCTGTCTACCCCGTGGAAGCTGTTAGGGGTTTGATTGCTTCAAAATAATCTTAGAAACTATATTTTTTAAGAAATACTAGTAAAACACATTATCAAAGTCCCCGATACACCATATTTCATACAGATAGCAAAAAAAGGACTTGCCATTGAATTACATAAAGAGTCTATAAGTCACATTAA